GGGCTTCAGCCGTGACCCCAGGAGAAGGGCTTCAGCCGTGACCCCAGAAGAAGGGCTTCAGCCGTGACCCCAGAAGAAGGGCTTCACAAGACTTGAGTCCGCTTGGATCTTTATGTCAAACTCATAGTCTGAAAACTGGAGAGATGAAGTTTTGTTGTTTACAGCTCACCCAGCTGAATTTTTGTTTCAGCAGCCCTAACAGACCAAGAAACAACCTACAGGACAGTCCAGATTAGACCAAGACTCAGTCTGTAGGACAGTCCAGATTAGACGGCAAGGGGTTGATTTTGGGGTAAAGGGCAGTTAGTTACCATGCTTGCATCCACCATCTGGGCCTCACTGTGGGATTGATGCTGTGTACTTAGGGCTTGGCAGGTGACTTGGGGACAAACCGGCTGGAGCTACACCTGGTGCCAGATGCTCTTTTAATAATTTAGAATTTTGAATCATGAGATTGGGTCATCTTTTTGAAGGTTCAGAATGTGTATGTGGGGGAGAGAAAGACAGACAGAGAGAGAGACACACACACAGAGACACAGAGAGAGAGACACAGAGACGGACTACTAGTGTCTAGTGCCCTGGGGATGCGGCTTCCCTAGGTGACCTGTCCTGCTCCCGTGTACTCTGTGGCTGGCCCCTCTGGTAACCACATTTGCAGGTGGGTAACATAGCAACAACAGGCAGACTATTTTTCCCTGTTGAGGAAGATGCGACTGTGAAGATATATTTGGGAAGTGCATAGCCACCTCAGACTAAAGCAGGCCGGGAGGAAGACAAGGCAGTCCAGCCCCTGACCCGAGCCGGAATGACCCAGATGCTCGTTGCTTTTCTTGGGAAGGGGAGTAAGACTACCCTCTTTCCCCATCTGCGTGCTTTTTCAGTATTCCTTGTGAAGCAGCAGTACACATTGCTTGTAGAAACATAAGAAGAAATGTCCTGGTAAGCATGTGACGGTAGCCCTGAGGTCTCTGCGGTTTCTCCACACTCAGGCTAGCACTGTCAGTCAGTCTCAATATTCTACAGTGAGGAACAATGCAGGCAGTTTTGCAGGAGCATCTGTGTCATAGGGACTGCTGGGCTGGACAGGGCTGATGGCTTTCTCTGGTTTTTGCAGGAGCGCTGTGTGGCTGCCCTGGCCCGGGTAGAGCGCACTGATTTCCTGTCGCCCATGTGCATTGGTGAAGTGGCTCACGTCAGTGCAGAGATCACCTACACTTCCAAGCACTCTGTGGAGGTCCAGGTCCACGTGATGTCGGAGAACATCCTCACAGGTAACTCCCAGGTGCTTCTCACCAGGCCAGCTTGGCTCAGCAGCAGCAGCACTGAGTAAGGACCACAGTACAGCAGCAGCAGCA